TTTTAACTTTGTCATTTGTCCCAGTGTTTGGTGATTTACCAGCTCGCTTGGTACAACATTTTTGGAGGCCCCAGTGAGATCACCATCACTTGGTGGCTTCTATTCGGTGGATGGCCCTTGTCTCAGGCTGCCGCGGCCCAAGAGAGGCCCAGGGAAGCCACCCTGACCATTTGATCAGGGCCCTGGGGGCTCAGGTCTTGAGCAGAGGATTCAGGTCACTCCAGCCATCCTGAGGGGAGTTCATCTGGAAAACCTCCAGAGGTCAGGTAAGAATCTTATGATTCTCAGTCAGTGGAACCAAAAGAGGGTGAAAGGAAAGTCAGATGCGGTGACAGTAATTCCCCCGCTCAGGGCTTCATCACAACGGTGGGAAGCCTTCTGGTCTGGTCAGTTTACCCCTTTGGCACCCGGGGATATAGTTTGTTTAAATATCTGTGTATCTGTCTTTTGTTGTTTGTCAGCTTGCTTTGTATGCCTTTTGCTTCCTTTTTCCTTCCTCAGCAGACCATGGGATCCAGATCGTCTAGCCCGTCAAGCCCCCTTAAGTGTGTTTTACAACATTTCTCACAAATTTATACCCCCCAGAAAGCAGATGAATACAGCATCAAATTCTCAAAAGGAAGACTCTGGGCCTTATGTCAACTAGAGTGGCCATCATTTGGGGTGGGATGGCCAGATGTGGGAAGTTTCGATATTTGGACTACCCAGCAGGTTTGGAACAGGGTCACAGGAAAGGGAGGGCCTCGTCATCCCGATTAGTTTCCCTATACTGATGTATGGGTGGACCTTGTAGAGGACCCTCCTCCCTCCCTTGATTGTCTGGGATTGAGACACAGGAGGTTTGTGGAAGATAAGATTCATAACAGGCGAGGACAATCAGTTGCTCTTGTCACCAAGCCCCTTCCAATATGTAAGGTTTTTCTGGCCCTGCGGGATGAGGATGACTTCCAGCCTTGCCCACTCTCTTATTGGGCTCACGGGGAAGGGCCTGAAGAGGACCCTGAATCCCCCTCTGATTCTGCCTCCCATAATCCCTCCACCCCCTCTGTGCCACCTGATCCCCTGTCCCCTCCTCACACCCAATCAGGACAGTGCTACGAGTCTCAAGGGGCAACCAGCCAGGTAACATCCACTGTCCTTCCTTTGAAATAGGTTGAACCAGGTGGGGGATTCATCTATGTCCCTTTCACTACCAGTGACCTTTATAATTGGAAAAATCAAGTTGCTCCTTTTTCAGAAAAACCCCAGGCTTTAATTAACCTTCTAGAGTCTGTCTTCCATACTCATCAGCCCACCTGGGATGACTGTCAACAACTCCTCCATACCCTCTTCACCACGGAGGAATGGGAGCGAATTTTTCAGGAGGCCGACAAGGCAGCCCTAGGTCCCAACCCTGATCCTGGCCCCAGTACTCTGGCTTATCTGCAGAGAGCAGAGGCTGAAGTGCCAACCCAAAGACTGGATTGGGACCCCAACACCAATGCAGGTAGGAGAGACCTGGCCAGTTAGCACCAGTACCTTTTGCAAGGACTCTGCCAAGCAGCTAAGAAGCCGACTAATCTGACTAAGGTGAGTGAGGTAAAACAGAATAAGATGGAGTCCCCCATGGCTTTCCTGGAGCACCTTCTAGAGGTGTATTGGGTCTACACACCCATTAATCCTGATGCTCAAGAAAATGCAGCCATGATAAATCTGGCTTTTGTGTCACAGTTGCCCCCAGATAGTAGAAAGAAACTTCAGAGTTTGGAAGGGTTTGAGGGAAAGAACAGGTCCAAGCTCCTGAGTATAGCACAAAAGGTTTTTGACAACCGGGACTCCCCAGAAGAGACAGTCGCCAAGTGGCTAGGAAAAGTTACTATTGCCGCCCTCAAAAACTATGAGACAAGTAAGCAGACCAGGAGACCCAAGCCAGGGAGACCCCCACAGCCTAAGCTTGGAAGGGACCAATGTGCCTATTGCAAACAGACTGGACATTGGAAAAATGAATGCTCCCTCAAGAAGGAAAAAGAGGGACAGAACCAAAAAAAGACACAGGAGGTCCTGACCTTTGAAGATATGGAATAGGAAAGTCAGGGCTCATTCAAACTGAGCCCCCATGAGCCCATGGTAAAATTAAAAATCGGGAGCACACAGACCAACTTCCTGATAGATACTGGGGTGACCCATTCAGTACTGACTAAACCTTTGGGAAAATTGACAACACGAGAGACTTTGGTACAGAGGCCTACTGGCAAGAGTGCTCAAGGTTATAAATGGACAACTGCATGAAAGGTAGACTTGGGTCACAGACAAGTGACCCATTCCTTTCTGGTGATTCCAGAGTGTCCATACCCCTTGCTTGGTAAGGACCTGCTAAGAAAATTGGGTGCAACAATTACCTTTACAGAGGAAAAGGCAGACCTGAGACTAGGCATCCCACAGGGGACTGTCAAAGTTATGATGACTTGCCCATTGGCTTCTGAATAGCTGATGCTCTCAGAGCCAGAGAACAAGTCAGCTGGGCTGATTGGTGATCTACAAATGGAGTTTCCACTTGTGTGGGCTGAGACTAATCCCCCTGGGTTAGCTGGCCATCAAGTTCCTATAGTGGTAAGTCTAAAGTGCAGTGCCCAGCCTGTTTCTGTCCAACAGTATCCCATCAGAAAAGAGGCAAGAGAAAAGATTCAGACACACATCAGTCTGCTCCTAGATGCTGGAATCTTAAAGCTGTGCCAATTGCCTTGGAACACCCCACTCCTGCCTATCCAAAAGCCCAGTACTTCTGACTACAGGCCTGTCCAAGACCTCCAAGAGGTAAATAAAAGAACTGCAACTGTACACCCAACTGTGCCAAATCCCTACACCCTACTAAACCTCCTGCCAACACAATGACAAGTCTACACTGTACTGGACCTCAAGGATGCCTTCAGTCTGCCATTGGCCAAGGTGAGTCAGCCCCTTTTTGCTTTCGAATGGGTGGATCCTGAAGGAGGGTACTCGGGACAGCTGACCTGGACAAGATTGCCACAAAGGTTCAAAAATGCTCCCACCCTGTTTGATGAGGCTCTGAATAAAGACTTGGCTCTGTTCAGAGTGTCTCATCCTGAAGTGACCCTTCTCCAGTATGTAGATGACCTCCTAGTAGCAGCTGATGATCAGGACACCTGTATGACAAGTACCAAGGACGTGTTAAGACTGTTACAAAAATTGGGATATCGAGTGTCAGCCAAAAAGGCCCAGATCTTTACCTCCCGAGTCTCTTATCTTGGGTATGAAATTGAAATTGTAAGCATTGTGGACCTTGATGTCCTTGATGGACTAGTCATTGGCCAAGCAATGTGGATGATAGTGATAAAGGGGGAAGAGATGCAATGCCCAAACCTGCTACATATCCAAAATGCAAGTTCCTCTTCTCTAAAATCCAAGTATGAATTCTAGGAATAATGGAGGTTAAGAGCAGGAAAAATTTATTAAAAGATACCTTCTGTCTAAAAGAGACAGAAGGGGGACCTGAAAGTGGGTTGTCTGCCCACCCTGCTTTTCAAAGGTGTTATATATAAATATATGGCAAAGCCATGAGGTGAGGCGGGTACAAAGTGGGACAAAACTATAAGACCCAATGGAAAATTACAAGATGGGCATGAGGTGGGACATAACCATGATCGACCAATAAGATTACAAGTACAGTCACCCAGGTAATATTGATTAAATTGGGATCAAATTGGAAAACAAGTCACGTACAAGGAATTTCCCCATTTAGAATATCAATCATTGCTATTCATATCTAGGGGAAGTAGTACCTCTTTTCTTTTTTTATAATCCCAACCAGTGAATGTTCCTCAATTGTTCTCCATGTTGGCTCCTTGATTGTTCTCCATGTTGATTCCTCCACTGTCCTCCATGTTGGCTCCTTGAGGGCTGACCCTGTCCAACTGCCTACAAGATATCTAATTAACTTACCTATCTACAATAATAGGATAGGGCCACCAACATCTCCAGCATCCTTTGGTGAGGCCCAGCACAAGCATCATGCTATGGCTCCTCATGCTTACATTCTCACACCCTGGTACAGGTTGTCGAGGCTCAAGGAAACTGAAAGTTAGGAAGGAAGGCTGTGATACTGCATAAAGAGCAGTGCAGGTGCTTGCTGTCCCCTCCCATCCTTTCCATGCATTTACCTTTCTCAGAACCCCACTCCATCCCCACCTCCCACTTAGCTTCAGATGGTCCTATGAATGTGCACCCTGTGTGTTGTGCAGTGATGGTGTCAAGGGAGGTTGTTGGACTCATTCTGCCCAGAATTCTTTACTATGCTCATGCTCATTGCCCCCAAGAGGCTACCCTAATGGATTATATCACCAGGCTCATGTGCCATATAGTTTCTGGTTAGGGCAGCCACTGGGAGGCAGAGGAGATGGGAAGAGGTGAGCACTTTCCTCCCTTCTCACTTCCTGCTATACTGCTTGTGTCTCTCCATGCCTCTGGCTCCTCTTGGGAACCTTCCACCCTGGAGATCTCAATATTCCTAGTGACACTTAAGTTTTTGTCTCTCGTTTCTCAGCTCCAAGATTGTAATGGGTCCTCTCTCTGTGTGCCTTATCACTTCTTTTATATCACTTTGAGTTTGGGCTATGACTGCCCTTTCATTAAAGTCTCAGAGTGTTTTCTTCACCAGGACCCTGGCAGTCACAGATGAGCACCACTCTGGTCCATGAAGTTATTTTAGGTTGAATGAAAAATTATTTTATATAGAAGCAAGCTATGAGATTTAATAATGTTGAATCACAGCAAAAATGTTTTGAAAATGCTCTTGAAAGCCTTTCAGTTGCTCTGGCTACAAATCTCAATTTGTACCATTAAGACTTTTGTATCCCTTCAGTATGTCTACCTTTCCCTTTAATAATGAGGAAATGGGCAATAGCTTGGGGCAATAGAACACAGCTAGATTTTAATCACCCCCTTTCCTGTTCATTGCATTTGTTTTTACCTATGGCAGTGGTATGGATTTCCCATTTATGGCAAGGCAATTAATTATTTTATTTTCAAATCAATTTAGTAAGTTAAAAACGTGTTTAAAGACAATATTATGTAACTAATAGGGCGTACAATACAGGTGTGTGTGTACCTGTGTGTAGGGGGTTTGCTGAATAACAAGGCATGAGCCTTCTGTATGTAGGAACACAGCCTGTTCTTCCTCCCTATCCCAATTGCTTGGTGGTCTGCCATCTCTCCCAATCTCTCCAACAGGTAGCGAAGACAGAAGTCGTCTGTCTGCTTCAGGGCTGTGGCTTAGTGTGCATGGTGGATGCTCCCTAAGTACCTGGTGAACAAATGCAACATGGAAGGGATTCATTAGTGTAATTTCACCACAAGGTACTGTTAGTTCAAGATATGTAGCAAGAGACAGTGAACGTTACCAAAGAAATGACCACATCACTTGGGCAGTCCGCCTTTTAAAACTGGTGATCTAATGCAAAGACAACCACATTCATCCTTAGAGTCCTGCGTATGAGGTCTGCTGGGGAGGATGGGCAGTGCCCTGAGTTGCATTGAGGAGGGCCTTATGGTCCACAGACAGAAACACATACCACTTCTGTCTCCTGGCCAGGAGCCCAGACTCTGCCACAGGGTTTACATGAGAATGGCATCGGCAAATGGCCAAAGTTCCAAAAGCAAACAAACTTCCTGCTGTCCAAGTGAACAACAGGTCCCCATGTGGGCATCTTTCCCATGGGAGAACAAGGCCTGATAATTCTAGGGAGGTCACAGGGGAGTTCTGGCCTGGGAGACAGGAGAGTATGCCCAGTCAGGCACATCAGTGCCACTGTGAGGGGACAACAGTGCTGTTGTGGAACCTGGCACCGTCCCTGGAGGCTCCTGCTCAGGGGTGGCCTTTCCCTGGTGTCTATAAAGTAAGGGCTGCTTCAGTTTCACTGTCAGTCCCTGAGATCCTCTGGGTGTACTTATGGGCAATTAGATTTGTGCCAGACACAAGTATTCTGAAAATGTCACTTTCTGCTGATAAATAAGCTGTGAAGGCTAGGAAGTGACCAGGACTTGCCCAGTCCAGAGCTGGTGGCATCTGCCTTGGGTGAAATCCCATACCCCACCCAGCTGGCCAGGCCTCCTATGTGGCTCCCTCACCATGAGGTTGCAGGGGCCAACACCAGGGCTGCAGAAGACTCTGCAGGGCATCTTCACTAGCTGTAGGCAGGTGCTGGGTTTGAAGCAGAGGACTCTTGTTACCTCAGGGACTGTGTGCAAAAATCCTCTGCCCATGCCTGTGGAGCAGGCAGGCCACCTGGGCATTAAGCAGGGTGGGCTGCTAGGGTCATGTGTCTCTTCTGTCTGTTTTAGTCCCCACCCCCACCCCAGGCCACCTGGCTTGGGTCAGCCATATCTGAATCTGATTCATTTCTCATATTGACCAGGTGTGACCAGCTCAGGAGTCCCACACCCCAAGCATTCCTGCTTCAAGTGGACTGTCCTTTCTCCAGTGGCCTGAAATGTCACTGCAGACACAGGGCAGACTTTCACATATGGAGGTGGGCAATCTGTCTCTGTGCTCTCTCTCCTGTCCTATGGGACTCTGAGTGGGACTGGGGACCATTGTGAGACACGGAACCTGTGTCCCTCTCCACAGGGTGGCTGCCCTCTTCCCCAGTGGCAGGCAGGAAGGCAGATCCAGGGGAGCTGATGCTTCCCATTTTCTGCAAGAAATTGCATATTCAGGTTTCAGGTGAGATCTCTTGATTTAAATGCTGGCAACTAATTCCATTTTTCTCCTCCCCTTCTTCACTACACAGAATAGGGCAGCTGGTCAGGCCAGGCCACTTGGTGGCTGGTGCTCCTCTTCCCTAAGGCAGCCACACCCTTTATCTCTGGGGCTCGAGTGACTTTCCTCTGAAATGGGTTTATGATCTGATTCCCAGAGTCTGGAAAATCAGATGAAAAGATCCATGTGCAGCACTTGGAACCTAAGCCAGTACACCTTCATTCTTTGAGATCCTTCTCCTGGTACCTTCCTGCTTCTGTGAAGTATCCACACACACCTTTGATTTCTCCCTCTCCGAGGAGAGGCACCAGCAAGCTGGATGCCTGTAGTTTCCTTTTCATTCTCTTGTTCCTTTCCCCATGTCTTACTTCCTTAAGATTTGCAAGTTTCTAGTGGATGTTCAAAGAGTTGTGCTTCCTGAGGATGAGGTTCACTTCCCAGGACGGGGAAAGCTCACAGGAGCCTTCTTTCCTTCAGGTCCTCCTGGGAGCAAAGGTAGCATCCTTTAACACAACAGGAAGTCAAAAAGACTAAAGAACAGAGTCATGTGGGATTTAATTAGAGCAGCATCTACCCTCTGAATCATCCTCCTGAAAACACAGGCTCCCTCTGCATGATGCGTTTTAGGGAGAAATGGAAAGATTTTCAGCTGGAGAAGGCAGCTCAGAGCCCAGGGTAGTCAAGGAAACAAGAGGAGCTCTGTTGAGAACATCTACTCCAGGTGCTGATCATCCTCCACGGATCTTCTGCCATGTGAAGATGCAGGAAGAAGGCAGCCATCTTCAAACAAAGAAGCCACTGTTGATAATGCCTTATATAGACTTTTTGATGCAGTCTTTAGGGTTTCCTAAGAATAAAATCATGTTGTCAGCAAGCAGTGACAATTTCTCCTCTTTCTCTTCTTCCTCTTCCTCCACTCCCTTTTTCTCTTCTTTTTCCTCCTTTCCTTCCTCCTGCTCTTCTTCCTCTCCCTCCTTGTGCTTCTCTTCCTCTTCCAATTTGTATCTTGTATTGAGGCATTGTTTTTTCCCGCCGATTTCCTTTGGCTGGGATTTTCCAGTACAAGGTGGAACAGAAGCGAAGGTAGTGAGCATCCCAGTCCAGTTCCTGATCATAGAAGAAAAGATTTTACACAATTTTGCTACCATTATTTTTCTGAGTGAACTATTATTTTTATATCAATTCAGATTAAGAAAAAGTGAAGGATTTTTATTTTATCTTTATTCATTCCTCAACTAGTGCTCTTTCTTTTCTAATGAAATCTTTCAAAAGACAGCGCACGGGCTCAGTGTTATAGCATTTCTTCTATTCTTTTAACCTTCTTCTCTTCCTGGCACAGGTATTCCCATTATGCACATGTACACCTTTAATAATTGTCCCAGAGCGCTTGGAAGTTCTATTCTTTTTGCATTCTATTTAAACATCTTTGCTCTTGGGACTGGGGATTTAGCTCAGTGGTACCACGCCTGCCTCACAAACACAAGGTCCTGAGTTGAACCCCTGGTACTGAAAAATAAATAAATAAATACAAATCTTTGCTCTTAATGTGGGGAAATTTCTATTAACATATCTTCAAACTCACTAATTCTTTTCTCAGCTGAATCCAGTCTATTGATCCTTCATTTGTTTGTGTTTATTCTAGTCTTTTTAATTCTTAGAAATTTCTGTCTCTGCTTACAGTACCAATCCATTCTTGCATGTAGTCCACTTTTCCCACTAGAGCCCTGAGCATATCAATTATAGGTATTTTAAATTACTGATCTATCTGCTACATCTAAAATGCCTGCCGTATCTGTGTCTGTTCTGATGTTACTTCATTTTGTTTCTTCAGACTGTTTTTTTTCTTGCTTTTAGCCTACTGTATAGTTTTGTTGCTGATGATAAAGCCAGACATGATGCATAGATCAATCAGTTAGGAGCCGAGATCAATCAGTTTTCAGTTAGAAGTTTTATGTTTATAGGGCTAAGAGTTAGCCTGTGTTTAAAGTTTCCTGTACCCATAGTTGTTAGTCTTCGATTTCCTATAGTTTTCTTTCTATATCTCATCCCCTCTTTTGTTTGGATTTCCTTAGAAACTGCTGCTTTAAATTAATTACTGCTCTCTCAGTTGTAACCTACTAGTATTACACTGGAGTGGGGTTGGTGTAGCAGTGTGTTATGGCTTGTATTTAGGTGTCCCCCAAAAGCCTCGTAGGCTCATAGCTGGGGCTTTTGGGACCTGGTTGTATCTAGCATGTGATACTGGGATTAAGGACATATGGTACTAAATTAGTTCACTGATTGGCTTAGCATAGTTCTGGGTGTGAATAATGGGAAGTCCCACTCTGGGTGTGGGTGGCACCACCCAAGAGGCTAGTAGTTTGAATAGCATAAAAGGGAAAGGGAGGCTTGCTTTGCTGTTGTTGCTGCTTGCTGCCTTCTGCTTACCTTGCTATGGACTGTTTCTCCTCTGTAATGCACCTCTGCCATGCTACCCTGCCTTGAAGCCAGCCAACTATGAACTAAAACTTCTACAAACTGTGAGATGAAATAAATCTTTTCTCCTTTAACTTGTGGGTGTTGTATATTTTGTCCCAGCAACAAAAAAGTAGCTAAGACATAATGGGTGTTGTAGAGGAGAAGCAATGAATAATCTATTCATATATATAATCATGTCTATTCTTTAGTATGCCTAAATCCTTGGGCTCTGATCTTTGAAATTTCTTATCCCTTTCCTTTAATACTTCATGAAAGACAGGAAGTCTAGTCAGGCCTGAGTGGTCTATTTACCCATCCCCCTAGGTTAGTTAAGGCCCACTTAAAGTATTCTCCTTTGAGGTTAGGTCTTTGTTAAAGAAAACCAAATGTTCCAGGTGTATTTTCAATCGTATACACCTCTTCCCTGCTAACCCTGTAGCCCGAACACCTGCCAAGGAAGCAGTGAAAGAAGCTGATGGGGCTTCTGGAGGTAAAATTCACAAGTGTTAAAGACCCTCTTCTGAGTGTTCCCCCTGAAGTATGAGCTCTCAGATTAGTTCACGTTCAATCTGAGGAAGCAGTGAGCAGCACTGCCATTTACATGTTTCTGCCAGCTCCTCAGTCCAATAGCATTTGTTTCCAGCAAGGTGATTCTTGGTATTTACTGGTCTCGGCAGTTTTGGGTAGCAGGTTGCACTGTGACTCAATTCTTTGGTGGATCTAAGAAACACTGATTTTCAGGGGTTTTTTTTAGCTTTTTCCTTTATGTGAGAATAGGAATGAATAAACTATTTATATGTAGGAGTGAATTGAAAGTCTTTAACATCTTTGTGTAGATGTATATGTGGTACTCGGGGTTGAACCCAAGACCTTTGCACTGACCTATATCTCTAGCTCCTTTTTTCATTTTGAGACAGGGTCTCACTAAGTCACTCAGTTGCCCGGACTGGGCTCTAATTTGAAATCAACCTGCCTCAGCTTCCCAGAGTGCTGGGATTACAGGTGTGCACCACCAGCCCTACCTTTTGACATCTCTTGATGTGCTTATCTCCCATCTATATATCCTGTTCCGTGAAATGTCTGATATGCCTTTAGCCCACTTTGTCATTGCTTTTTGCTTTTTTAAAAAAAAATTTAGAAACATAATTGTGATGGATAGAGGAACTACTGCAATGACGTTTTGCAGTAGGGGAGAGACTGTGGGCTTAACTGACTATCCAAAAGATTTGTTTTATGGCCCATGTTATGAGATATGTAGGTAAATGCTCCATGCATGCTTGCATGGAATGTTTATTCTGCTGTTTTGGGGTGAAGTGTTCTATAAATGTTGATTTGTTCCTGTTGTCGTCAGTGTCGTTGAATCCACAGAGGCAAGGATAAAAATGAGAAGTTCTGGTTGTGTTCAGCCTTAACGAGAGGAGATACACCTCTGCCTGCTTCCTTTCTTTAAAATACTTCAGCTCTGGGTACCTACCTGACTTCAACATGGCCGCCCACAGGCTGCAGTGTCAGAATGGGCGCCGCCATATTGGCGCCTCAACGGAAAGGAGTGTAGCGCCGCACATCGTTGATTACGTACTGGCAACCTCCGCTTGAAGGTTGAAGCCTCTGCTGAGCATGCGTACGTAGGCGGTGCCCCCAGGAGTCTGGCTGGCGGGTGGAGAGAAGAGGGAGTAACCGGAAGTGGGTTGCGTTTTAGTTTCTGTGACTCTTGTCTAGGCGGGAGGCAACTGAGAGAGCCGTGTGAGTGAGGAGCAGGTGAGTGCAGGGATGGACTATCAGTGTCTGAGTGGGGAGTATCTGTCAGTGACTGGGATGGAGAGTGGATGAAAGAACCGGGTCTGAGTCACCTCTGACTGTGGGTGTGCGGATGAACGAGGCAAGCTGGGGGAACTGCAAGAGGACCGCTGTGGGGACTGAGTAACGGGACCTTGGGGAGTGCTGTCGATCATAATTCATTTTCTCTCCTTTATGTTTACCCGCTCTGTTTACATTTCTGTTTCTGACTCACGGTGGCATATTTTGCTAGGAATTTAAAAAGTGTTTTGCGATGGTTCGCATATAAATTTTTATCTATGTTATTTTATTCTGTTCCACATCCAGATTAGTTCGCCATTCCTATTAGTATACTTATATATGATTTTTTTTCTTTTCTTCAAATATTAGGTATTTCCAGTTTTTATGTTTTACTGACCACTTTAAAGTACAGGCTCATGGTTTTATTTTTATTCCCTATTCTTTTTATATTGTTTTCTCTTTTTAGTTGTTCTCCTGTCCCTGCTTTTGATGTAATTTTTATTCTTTCGCTTTTTAAAGAGAGACGTAGAATAGATTTAATCTGTAACTAGGAAATGCCTAAGTTAGCGGCAATTTTGGACACCCAGAGACTTGGTAGAATCTGTCCCCCAAAGGCATCCCCGAGAGCCACAGAGACCCCCTCAGTTCACGGAGGTTCTGGCTGAATGTTGGCTTTGCACTGTTTCAACACAGTACTTCTTGAAAAGGCCAAAGGCTCTCAGCTCTTCAAGTTTCTTCTTCTTGGTATCATTAGTGTGCTGCTGCGGCTTCTAGGCCTCCTCTTTTAGGCACCAGCCCTCCTTGAAGGTAGAAATCCTGTTCTGCACCTGCTTCTCTCTCTCATTGGCAGCTGCAAGCACCCTGCAGCCTTTTCCTCCTCTAGCCACTTCTCAGTCTGCTCTCTCTGAGCCCAGAGGATGCACTTGAACTCATTCATTCCAGTCCCTTTGCACCTGAACAGCCAGAGTGTGCACCTGGAAAGCCAACTTCCAAAGCTTGACTTCAGCTTTCCATCTTCTTCTGTATATTTTCCTTTTTCCTTTCTGTGGCACCCTCAGTCTGCAGCTTCCTGGTTGTGCTTGGCCCACAGGGCATCCTGTTCTTCCTGATAATACTGGGCTTTCTCCTGCATGGCCTTCAGACAGCAAATCTCTTTCTCTTTCTCTCCCTGGATTCTCTCCTGCTCAAGCTCAGACTCTGCTTCTTGAGCCACCTTCTTGGTGAACTCCATCGCCATCTGGTCGTCCAGTTTCTGAGCTACAGCTCTGCCACTGATTTTTATGCACTTAATCCCAGCTTGCATCTTCAGCTTTTGCCGGTGTCTCAGTTTCCTGTCTCACAGATCCTCTTCATGGAATTGCTCCATGTTCTCCAGCATCTGCTCCTTCTGCTGCTTTGTAAGCAGCAAGCGCTCCTCTGGTTCTTTTTCTACAGTGTTCTGTCTTCCTCATATTCTTTCTTCCTTCCTCTCCCTATCCAGTTCCTCCTGCCTTTGAATGGATTTCTGTTGCTCTGCTTCCCTCATCTGATCCAACTGTTTCTCCTCTGCATCCAGCTCTTTCTGTATCTGGTGCTTCTGCAAGATTTGCGGATCCTTGGCGTTGAGGATAATCTTGTTTATGTCCTTAAACTCCTCTTCCTGTGGCTTTCTGCAGGAGGTTCTTGGCCTGCTCCTTGGCCGCCTCCTCCAGGTCACTGAGCACCATTTCTGTTTTGTTTTGTTGTTTGGTTTTTTTTCTTTCATGAGGCAGGGTCTCCCTTTGTAGTTCAGGCTGTCCCTGAACTCACTAGCCCAGGCTGGCCTCGAACTCCCAGCAGTCCTCCTGCCTCAGCCTCCTGAGTGCTGGGATCACAGGCATGCACCACCACGCCCGGCTCTGAGCACCGTTTCTTGTGCACTATTTCCTTCAGTTTCATGATCTTATGCATCATCACCACATACAGTTAGCATCAAGATGTTTTTTTGCTTTTCCTTTGTTATTGACCATGTTGTGATAAAACTCCTGCTTTTAAGTCTTTGTACAATGTGGGATGCTTTTTTTAATGATACAATTCTAGGAATAAGTTTTTGGGTCAGAGGTGAATAGGCACTAAATAACAAATATATCTCTTGTGACATTGACACAGTCCCTGCTCTCACCTGCATCTCTGCTCATCTGTTTTCTCAGATCTCTGCCCCTTTCCCAGAAGAGCCAAAAATGAACAAATCCCTGGTGAGTTATTTGTTTGTCTGTTGCTTGACTTTATTTCCTAGTGGATTTTAGGAAGCATCTAATACTCCATATAGTAAGATGGACAAGTGTAGATGAATAAACACTAAAAACAGAGAAAATGGAGGAGACTGTGAGCTCCCAATCAATTTTGGACTATAGATACGTGTGAGTTCTATGGCTTCACACAGTTATGAACAGTTCAGTTGTCTCTGATTTTTCTGACAATAATGGAAATTGAACACGTGGTTTATATTGTTAACAAGTAACTTATTTCATCAGTGATACTGATCTTTCATCTCTGAAAAAAAATTTGATAGATCTTTAGATGGTGGTAGGATGTCTTCAACAGTAACTCTGTACACATTGGCTAACAGGTTTTCTCATTCTCTTGTGGAGCAGTGTTTCTCACATCTTACCTGCATATGAATTTAGATTCTGAACAAAAGCTTGTATTCCTCACATATTCCCTAAGAATGTCAATGCTACTTGTCCAAGGAGCAAACCTGAGTTTTATCATGAATAGGTATTAATTTTGTCAGATGCTTTTTCTGCATCATTTGACATGATCATATGATTTTTACTTCAGTAATCTGTTGATATGGTAGATTACCTTGAATTGATCTTTCATTTGTGTAATAAGCCCCTACTTTGTCATGGCATTGACTTTGTTTTATATATTTGTATTTACTGATATGTTGTTAAGGATTTTGCATATTTATGAGAAATATTGATCCCCCTGTTATACCATGATAGCACTGGTCTCATAAATGAATTGGAATGTATTCTTTTATTCTGCCAGAGATTGTGGGTGTGAGATATGATTTAAAAATATGCATAAACTTTTAAAAATGTATTACAGTAAAAGACCTATTGCCATTAATTCCCTCAGAATACTCTCTCTCACTTGAAACACAATTCACATCATTCTTGCCTCTTTCTCAAGCAGTTTTGAAAGTCCTCTTTTGGTGTGTCATTAGGAAATGTTTGAAAAGAGATAAGCTGACTGCTCGATAATCATTCTCAGATGTAAAGCTCTGAGTGTAAATAAAAGTGGCATTTAACAAATCTTTTCAAAACAAAGTTTAGCTGACTATGTATATCAGGAACTGAGCTACAGAAACAGCGTTAGCTGCTGACTTCCACAGGAAGGAGAGGACGCTAGATGCTCTGCTCTGTACTTCTTCACTCCACTTTTGTATACGGAAGGGGGTCGTGGGAAATCATGGAGTTAAGTTGTATTTAAACATAAAAATGAGCTTGATAGCACTTCTGGGTTAAGTAAAAAAAAAAAAAGAAAGTCCTGTTTTGTGAATGTCTTAGATAACTCTCTGTCTTCTTTAAGGCTTCTAGTTTTACCAGATTAGAACTCTATCTGTATGACCTCAGTTAATCTTAATTACCTCTTAAAAGCCTTATCTCCAAATACAGTCATATTGGAGGTTAGAGGTTCAGTGTGAATTTTTGGAGGACACAACTGAATTCATAGCAGCAATTTTGTCTTATTATTCTTTTAATGTTTACAAGGTATGTGGTACTGTCTTCTGTTTTATTCTTCAAATTGGTTATTTGTGCTTTTCTCTATTTTTGTGTATCAATCTTAGATCTTAGATGTTTGTAAAAATCAGGAAATGATCTTTATGTAGAATCTTTTTCTCTTTTTTATCTTTTCAATTTTTTTAAATTAATGTAATCAGTATCCTTTTGACATACATAATGATCACATTCATCATAGGGAATTTGTACCTGTACATAATGTATCTTAATTCTTTTTTTTCCCATTCCCATTTCCGTCTCATCCCTTCAATTCTTCTTCCCCTCTCTATTTATAAAACTTTGTTTCTATTGCTTTTCTTCCATTCTTTTTATTTTTTTATCCCTATTTCCTTCTTCCTCCCCCCTCCCTCGTTCCCCTTCCCATTTGGACATTTTCTTTCTACTTCCCAGTATCTAGCCTCCATTTGGGTCCTTATTTATCCTCTGGGTTTCTCATACAAGAGAAACAATGTGATATTTAAAAGTGTGTCTGATTTATTTCACTTAAAATGATGTTTTTAAGGTGGATCCATTTACCAAAAAATGCCTTAAGTTATCCTTCTTTATGGCAGAGTATATATAATAACCACATTTTCTTTATCCATTCATTTGTTGATGGGCATATGGGCTGTTTCCAAGATTTAGTTTTTATAAATTGTGCTGCTATAAACATAGGTGTACATATATTCCTGTGGTATGATACTGTCGCAGACCAGCTGCAGTCGATGCAGGGTAGGAAGGGGAGAGGTCTCGGGCCGGCGAGTGAGAAAAGAACCTTCGCAAGCAATGTGCAGGTTCCCTCTGAGAAGTCTCAGGGTCTGATTTATTTTTATATCTTTAAGCAATGGCCAGGAGGCATTGGGCAGAACATGTTTACATTTTAGGTTACCTTAACAATTTCTATAGAAATAAAGGTTATTTTTTACTAAACAAAGTACATTTTTCCTAAGCTGATTCATTTCATTGAACATCATGAATACATTTAAAAATTACAGTTGTCCCCTTATTTACCCACACCTAAGCAGAACAGAAAGTAACTTAATCAAAATCTCCATATCAGCGGGGATACAAGCAAGATTTAGTTAATTAAATGTCAAACTTGTGGTCGTCAGCTGGCCCTTGAGAAACTGCACAATGGTTAATATAGTTTGCTATTAGCTCTCTATTTTTT